AAAGAAGATCTAGAGAATTTTATTAGAACTAATACTAAGCTACTCTAGTACCTTAAGGTCTAGTAGATTTTGTTTCTTATTAACGCGCTGTTCTACATCTATTTACAAAGAGTTTTTATAGATAAAATTACTCTTTAGAATATTTTAGTTAATAATAGGTAGCTTAAATTTTTAGACTTTAGCTAATTATACTTACTACTAATAACTATAGATATAGACATAGCCTATAAGAATAGATTAATAGTAAAGATTAAGATTCTTTATCTTAGTTAGATTATATATTTAATTTCTGTTTAGGCTATATATAAATACTACTACTTTAAGTATAAAGACTTATAATAGCCTAGTTTATAGAACCTTTCTCTAATAGACTATGTTTTCTATAGTAGTATTATTTAGAAATGTTAGAATAGAGATTATATTAACATAGAAGACCTAAACAAGAATACGCTCTTATTAGTAAATTAGACTTATTACTAGCGTTAAGAAACGCTAGAATTAAAGTTAATATTTCTAATAACTTAGAATTGTTTTAATTAACTAGGCAGCGGCTTTACTAGTGCTCCTAATAAATTAGTTTTCTAACAAAAATTTAGTTATTAAGACATTTCTAACTATAAAGGTAGCCTTTAAGGCGAGATTCTAAAAGGTATTATAGAGAATTAGTAGTAGAAGTGCTAAAGAGAAAACTAGCGTGCTAATTACACAAGAAGCTTAAGAGAAGAAAACGTAGAATTTATAAAGCGTCTAAAGTACTTATTACTACTATTAGATTTAATTCTCTAAGCCCTACACTAGAACTTTGCTCTATGCATGCTTAGCTCTAATTATTAGGTAATTCTTAATTCTAAATATTATGTAAGTCTAGTTTAGTGTTTACTAGTAAATCTACTAACTTAGGCGCTAACTTAGACTCTACTAGGCTGTACTGCGTAGCTCGAGCTTAAGCCGCCTGCTCTAGTACTGTTATTACTATTCTTCTTTAGTGCAGGTCTTTTTTTCTTTTTGCAGGCCGTGCAATCCCTCCTTCGGTTGGTGCTAGAGCCCTTGGAGGTGTTCGTAATTGGGTCGCAATAGGCCGCCAGGGACCGAGTAGAAACGAGCTCGCATGGGATAACCCTAGAGTTTGGTGGCACGTTTTCCGTGTGCCCGCACTTGAAGGTTACTGGAGCAGGATGGTCCCACCAGCACATGTTTTTCAGTCTGAAGGACGTAGATGCAGTCCGGATCTAGGGAGCAAATTGGGAGTTTGATAAACTTGACGACTTTCGAGGGTATTATTTGAGAATTATTTGAGGCGTGGAGGATTATATCTAGACTCTGGCATAAGCGCAAATCCTAGAAAAATCCGGAATAACACATGTTACTGCCCTACTGCAAAAGCTCGAATTAATTATTCTGTTGCTGCCTAAATTAGCTAGGTGCATAATCCTTCGACGACGCCCAAGTGAGTCATCAGGATTGGAGGTCGATAGTTATTTTTCACCCTACCTAGTGAGTGCTCCATATGGCGTCGGTCCGGACAGCATAAGCGCTCAGCTTCCTGACGAGCCCGTCCAAGTCCGTTACCAGCTGGGGACGTCGGGACGGCGTCTTGGAGAGTGCGCATAAATCACGCATGCGCAGTTGCAGCTGAGCGCTCCGGAAATTGCCTGATCTGTGAATATGCCGACGAGGGTATCGAATTGGATGTCTCCGGTTGGAATCGACCTCGTACGAGTCCCGGACGGTCCCAGCCCCTGAGAAGACTTCCACCCTCGAGACATGCAGTTCCGTGACAATCAAGCTGGAACGAGCCTTCCAAGGATTGCGCAGGCAGCAACCAAGCGACTCTCTCGTCTAGACTTGACAAAATCGTGAGGATGCGCCTGACTCATAAATGAGTACGATTGGTCGTAGGGGAGTAGATGGCAACGTGACTGAGCAGCGGGTGAGCCGCCTAAGTAGTGGGTGAGCCGAAGGTGATTGGCGCCTGAGCGAGGTAGCGCGGCTTACTAGCTGCAGCGAGAAAGAGAATGCTAGAGAATTTTAACTACCTACCTCTTGAGACAGGCAAACTTCTCTCACACAACTGGTTCCGGTTATAGCCGCCAACCTGAGCAGCCGCCGCTTTAACCTGAGTCGAGCGTGAGCGAACCCTGAGCTGAGGCTCAGCGGACTGAGCGGAGGCTGCGTAGCATGAGCAACCCCTGTCTAGCGTGGACAGGGGGCTGTTTTGGACCCCTTGAAGCCGGCTGTTCTTGTCTAATCGCGAATTCTTTGAGCAGGGGTGACCAAAATCGACCACACCGCACGAAAAGTTCCCAGAAACTGCCTCCATTCCTTGTAAAGACTTAACTTCTCATCTGTATAGATGGTATTCTAGAAACTACAGAGCGAAAACATGCGACTATTGTACTGCATTTACCTTTAACGTTAGTGTTTAATTCTCTCGTGGTTCTCCTACTAACGACTAGATAGTTCAGCACAGATTGTTTCCTACGCTCTCTCGCGCCTGGCGCAACCACAAAGTAGAAGGGCTCTAACGCCAAAGTGGTTCCAATAATACCGTTGGCCAAGAATTAAATCCCTCGGTCCCTACGAGCGACCCAAGAGCGAGCCCCTCAACAGAAGACTGCCATCGGCCCACTCTATCTGCCACAACAACTGAGCGACAGCCTCCGGCGGAGCGACGGCAGAATCTAGACATGTAGTTGGAAAAGGACAGCGGCGCGTCAGCGAATCAAGGTTTTCTTCGGGCTGAGCGAGTGGTGAAGGATCCATATCATGCAGAGCGAGACACTGTCAGCCTTGGCGGGCCAGCAGGATGGCGCAGAGTGGAGTTGGGCTCCAGGTAAGGATAACTCAGGGATGTTCTTGCGCCGGCATGACCGACCTGGAGCCACTTTATGTGGACCTAACCTGGACAGCATATATTGGGGTAGGGTTGGACATGTCCGGTATATGGAAGCTGATTGAGTGTGGTGAATTCATGCAGACGCAATCGACGGATAGCTATAGGATTGGATGCAACGGCGGCACTCCTCCAGGCTGAGTGGTCAGCGTACGGATCTATTCTGAGTAGAGAACAATAGTTGTAATTGAGGCGCCGGCCTTTCACAAGATGGTGGAGCTAAGCTATGGTGAGGCAGTGCTGGCCTCACCGGGCTAGCAGAGCGGCGCAGAATTCATGCGAACATGGCTCAGCGATGGCGGTTATGGCATCGGCGACAAACGCAACAGCAGGATTGGACAGCTTTGCTCTCTAGCAGTTGATTGAGTGGGGCGACCACAAAGGAGGTCGTTGCAGCCCTTGAGGCAGAAATGGGACGATAGGTCTATGGACAGTAGTGGAAAACAGCGTCACCAGGGTTTAATAACTCATTTTCGGGTATATAATATCATTCATTTATACCGCTGTATGTCCTATGCGCCGCGCAAGCTGCATTCTTCTTCCGTAGGCTGGCTGCCATCCATACGCTGAGTTGGTATTCAGTTTCCGTGTGATCGCCGCTGGCAAGCTTGACCTCTGCGCAGGAGAAGAGGGCCGTCGTCTTCGTGAATGCGTCGGCCATATGGCGAGCGTGTTGTGTGTACAGGCTGGACTGCAGAGAATGCTCCCAGATCCAACGGCGGCCGCATCGACCGTCATTTGTGGCCTTCGCCTTGCTGGCTAGAGAGTTGTCACCTAGTCCAACAAGATGTCGTTCTCCTTGCGCCGAGATTTCCCAGCCAAGCTCCATTCTTCCTTGCTGTCGGTCTACTGTGGCGAGCGACGATCCGTATTCCTATGCGCATACTGGAGCGGTCAAAATCGTTTAGGTTATGGTCCTAGTGGAAACGGACTGTTGGGGGGGGGGAAGGGTGTTATGGGCGGACGAGCCGGGGAAGGTGAGGATGGCTAGCCTGCGAGCCAGATGGATCACGTCCATTCACCACGCGTTCTCATCGCGACCTCTCGACTGGCACACTCGCGCGTTCACCCAGATCTTCTTCATCTTCTGCAGCACATACGATAGTGCTTCACGCTCCTCGCCGTCAACGTCCGGGTCCGAGAGTCTGCGCGCCGTTCTCTCGTCCCAGGCAAGACGCTCAATCCTTTGATATAAGTCCTAGTCTTCCTCGATTAGCTCCCGCAGCCACCTAGGTATCCACCCTCTATCTAGCTCGTCTTCCAGCCGCTCTATGACATCCCTCACTCTCCGCGGCGGTGGTGTCCTCGGCTCCGAGCTCGATTCCGTTATCGTCAGAGGGAATGCGGAAGCTAGCGCGGCAGTGCTATCGCGCGACGGGTTGTTCGCTCAGCGAGGGGGCTTCTGGTGCCGGCTTGGCTGCCAGGCAGACTGAAGGTATTCCTCTCATTAAGGATCAGTGCGCTCGCATTCGAAGCCGCCCCGGCTGCTGATACGCTGTAGGTAGGCAGGACTTCGGTGTTGGTATCGCGTCTCAGTCGCTTGGTGCTGGTGGTGTGCGTCGACATTGTATAGGTACACGGTGCGGAAGAGGTCGCATGCTTCCGCTTCAGCGATAGGCGAGAAGTGGAGGTGGAGAGTCGTGGGGACAGGGCGCTGGCGGGGGTGCGAGCCCGCGCAGAAGGGCTTCTCGTCGGTCGGCGGACGCGTCAACGGCGGGTCTGCCAAGCTTAAAGACGGCGTAATATGTTGATGCGCTATTAGAGGAGTCTACAATATAGCATAGCCGTAAGTTGTGCTGCATCGCGAAGGTTGCTAATGGCTGTCGCGCAGACTGATGGGGATTCACAAGACTGTGCGCTCTAGTTGACTCAGCAACAGCGCCACATATCCGCTAGGTCGTATGACGTGTCTGTGGCTAGTGCTGCGCCAAGGTTGGACGCTCAACACCAAGCCAAAACAAGTCCTCGCTCCCACCCCTCAGCCAGGCCTGATTTAGCTCCCGTGGGCCATGTTCCTTTTTTATCCCTAGCCCAGATCTACGCACCTCCGTGGCGACCGCACTGGAGCTCGCTACGCTAACACCGCAAGTTAACACCACGTCCCGGTCCCTGTTCATGCGTACTAACAGGTCCGGCGCCTCGAGCACGAAAGCAGTCGCGAACACTCTCTTCGGCTCGTCTTCTAAAAGCCCCGTCCCCGATCAGCCTCGAAACGAGCCACCGCAGGTTACTCCGTCACTGTCCTGGTCTGCCACCAACCTCGTGCAGACCTACTCTTACGAGAACGCCGTGAGGCCTTTAGGGGGAAAGAGAACGGGCTCAACATAGGACAAAGGAGCAGTTTTAGCGGCTTTTTTCTCAAAATCTTCCTTGCTATTGAGCAAAGCGATCTGAGAATCCTCAACTAGCTAAGATTCCCTAACACTACTAATAAGGATCTACCAGTCGGCGCCAGTTTATGTTAAAGCAGTCGCGCAGCTTATTTTAGACTAAAAGAATCTTAGTACAGCGGATGAGCTTGGTGGCGAGCAGGCAATCGCCAGGTTCTTTGCTCTAAAAAAGGCAAGTCCACTTAATTCTCTCGTAATAACAATACTAACCTTAGTACAGGAATCTAATAGAGAGTCTACAACTTCGACATCTAAGACCGGCCTTTGAAGAGGAAGTAGGGTTCGGGATCGCGGTTAGGCGTACGATGTGGATAGTGTAGTATTATTAAATCTTCGCAGTCTTCTAATAGTAAATCTCTAAGTATAGTATATAAATTGTAGGCGTTTATTAGAATAGAATATAGATTATAACTCTGCGTACTACATTAACTTAAGTAGCTCCTTCGCGAAATACGAGAAGTCTAAGTTTTCTCTTCTCTCTTGTCTTAGCCTAACTCTGTATATCTTAATTCTTTAGGTCTACATATTCTACACTATATTACGCACGTAGCGAAGCCCTAGCCTCTTACTTAACTAAGTAGTTAGGTACCTAAAGATACTCGTAGCGCTATAGGCGCTATAATAGGTATATAGAATAGGCTCTATATCTAGATTAGCGTAATTATTATAGATCTAAGGCTTTTAGTTAATTAGCGTTCTATAAATATATTAGTAATTAAGTCTAGCTTATAGAGATAAGAGAAAAGAGTATATACTCTAGAATATTAGCTACTATCTATAGCTCTACTACCTATAGAATAGCCTAGCTAGTATCTCTAGAGTACTACTTCTAGAAGACCTTAATATCGCGAATATAGAGTAAGTAGGTAAGTAGCTTATTAGAGTAGTTAGAAGAGAGCTTATTAATATCGCTACTTTTAGTAAAGAAGCTCTTAGAAACTACTAGTAGTCTACTACTTATAAGTAAGAACTAGAAGTATAGTTAGCTTATCTATATAATCTACTAAATACTAGTTACTAAAACTTACTAGATAGCTAGAAATAGTTAGGTAGGTAAAGTTCTTTTTCTCTTTCTCTTTCTTATATAAGTCTCTCTTTTCTACCTTAAGAGGTAGTAGGTCTATAGTAGATATAATAATATACTCTATATAGGTCTACTTAGACTTATTAAAAAGCTTAAAGAGTATAAGAATATTATAGTTAAAGTCTACTATATAGAGTAGTTATTTAATTAAAAGAAGTAGATTATATAGCTAGAGTAAGGTAACTAGATAAGATTCTTTTACGTAACGCGGCGTGCTTCTTCTTTATTAAGCAGGTAGGTGCCTAGAGAGAGATAGGTTAAAAGAACAGGTTGTAAGAATATAGGCGACTAGCTAGAGATAGTACGTAGAATATTATTCTTAGTATAAACGTACTTACGCTAGAGAGTAAGCTTTAGGCGCTTATTATCTAACTTAATTTAAGAGTTGTAATGTTATAATTATAGAATTAATAATAAGCTTAGCTAGCTAGAATAGAGAAAATAGTAGGCTAAGCCTAAAGTTATAGAATAAGAAATTACGTATAAGGTTATAGAAATAATTAGAGTTACGTAATAGAAATTAGATAGATTAGTAGAATTTAGGTCTAATCTACAAATTAGACTCTAAGCTAGAGAATCTAAGAGAGCTAGGTTTTAGTATCTAATCTAGCTAAGATAGCGTATATATATAAGTAGAAGAAGCTTACTCTTTATAGCTTCTTATAGTTATTACTTTATTTAATTAAAATTACTACTATAACTTAAGTATCTATAGTATTATTACGTCTACCTCTTTATTACTAAAGATTCTAGTCTAAAGTATACCTCTTATCTTTACCTACGCAAGTAGGTCTTAGTTTTAGTTAAGAGAATAGTGTAATAGTCTAGTTTAGAATTTACCTTAGGTTATATAACCTCGAGTTACGTAATTCTATTACGTAACCTAGCCTAGCGCCTTAGCGCTTAGCACCTCTATATATAGAGCCTCTTAGAGTATTCTTCTACTTCTTACCTTTAGATAGCTAAATTTAACCTAACCTACTCTACTAGCACCTCTTATTCTTATAGCTTGTAGAGATAGTACTGCCTGTAGCTAACTTATCTAGCTAGGTGTTCTAGAGGCGCTTATAGTAGTAGAGACTGCGAACCTAGCCCTTATATTATCTAAAGGTTAATACCTCTTTAGCTAGAAACGGCGGCACAATATCTAGCTAAACTAAGTAGCCTTGTTAAGAAGCGTTTACTAATAGCTAATACTAAGAATTAGAGCTATAAGAGCCTAGTTACTTACTCTAAGAATTTATTAACGTACTAATTAATTACTTATCTCTTTAGTACTATATAAGACTACTAGTAAATCTAGTTAGTAGTAGAAAGATACTAGTACTAAGTTAAAGAGAGCTATTAAGAGCTCTATATATAGAAGAACTTCTATAGAACTTCTACGTACAAAAAACCCCCCTCTTTATAAATTACGAAAAATTAATAATTCTCTACTCTGCTAGTAGAACCGATAACTCGCTACTCTGCTAGTAGCTAAATACCTCTTCTCTTCGCTTCTTTCTTAATTAAAAAGCCGAACAAATCTAAACACTATAAGAGAACTCTTGCGAAGCTAATCTAGAGGTAGAACCTTAGCTCTATAATACCTCTTTACTCTAATAGTTCTTAAATTTAGAGTAGTAAATCTACTAGTAGAATATACTAATTAATATTTCTATTATAAAAACCTTGTTTAGTAATATAACGCGATAACTAACAAGAATTAGAATAATAACTTTAACTAGAAGCTTATAAGGCTCTACTAGAGCTTAGTAATACTAGAGCTATTATTAGCCTTAGGTTTATTTATACTTCTCGCCTCTACTAAAAAGCTTTAAGAGCTCTTTCTAGAAACGCTAGCTAAAATTATTAATAAAATAGTTAGCTAATTATATATATAATAGGTATATAAACAACAAATCTATATATATTACTAGATTACCGCTAACGCTCTTACTAAGAGAGATAACGTATATAAGAGATATTAGATATAGGTTACTACTCTAGCTAAAAAAGACGCTAAAATTTAGTAACTATAAGCGCAATTAACCTACTCTAGAGACTAGCCTGCTACGCTAGTTCTACGCGCGACGCGTTTTCTTATAATACTAATTATACGCGATTTAAGCGCGTTGCTGCTAGAGAATTTAATTCTAGGTTCTCGCCCTTCTATATACTAGCTAGCTACACCTCTAGCGTCGTAAGTACGAGAGAGCTAATTAACGCGCTTTACTAAGTTTCTAGATCTACTATTATTATTAGATAGTAAAAGTATTACCTTTAAGTAGTAGAGAGATAGCTTATATAATAAACTTTAAGTAAACTAGAATTAGTATACTAGAGATACGCTAGAGAATACTAAGAAAACTATTA